ATGCAAATGAAGCCCAGGAAATTCAAATCCCGGGCTTCATTTGCAAGTGCGGTATGCCTACATTACCCCGCTAGTTCGAACTAGCGGGGTAGTGTAGACATACCCTCAGAGACTTTGTGAGGCAAGAGGGAGGGAAGAAAGAAACCCTAGATATCAGACTGCTCAGAAAGGAGCTCAAACTTGAATTTCATAGGCCAGATGCTCTGCAGATTTAAATTAGCAGTATGACTTTATAGGATTCTCTGCATCTTGGGGTCTTCAAAGTATTTGAAGGCTTCAATATCTGAGATATAGGTGAGAGGATTATTCTAGGAGGGGTGGGTGAGATTTTGTGGCCTGCACTGTGCAGGGGGTCAGACTAGATGATCATAATGGTCCCTTCTGACCTTAAAGTCTATGAGTCTATGAGTCTAGGTTCCAAAGAGGATGGAGAGGGGCTGTGACGGATGGCAGAACAAGGAGCAATAGTTTCAAGTTACAGTGAGGGAGGTCTAAGTGGTATATTAGGAAAAACTATTTCACTAGGAGGGTGGTGAAGCACTGGAATGAGTTACCTAAGGAGGTGGTGAAATCTCCATCCCTAGAGGATTTTAAGTCTCAGCTTGACAAAGCCTTGGCTGGATTGATTTAGTTGGGATTGGTCCTGCCTTGGGCAGGGGTTTGGACTTTATGACCTCCTGAGGTCTCTTCCATCTCTATGAGTCTATGATTCTATGAAGTGTATCTGTTCAGATCCTGTAAGAAAAACCTTTTATTGTTGCTGTTTATTTTGTTTAGTTTTAATCCTTACTATTCGAACAAAATAACCCCACAATCACAAAACTTTAGTTGAAAACATTCCGATTAAAGAGGGAAGAGAAAGATGCAATAAAACAAAGAGAAGAAAATAAATGAAAAACCAAAGGAAGTTAATAACAATAGCTACAAATATGAAATTATGAAATGAAGACAACTGATAAAGTCAAAGGTTTCAAGGAGAAATCCATGACAAACAAGGCTCAGGACACAAAGAAGGAATTTTAAAAATGTATTAAGAGAAAAAAAAACCTCTGGGGTTCCATGAGTTGAGACCTTTTGTTTACTGTTGCCCATGTGCAGGGTTGCCAGATTCTACTCATTTCCATCCACATAGATTTTTTTCCTATTGATATTAGTTAAGTGACACTTGCTTAAAGCAAGGGCACAAAGTGAGGTGTATTCTGATTGCACACAATATTGACCAGGAGAGCTGTGCACTCCCTATGTATCCAAAGAGCTGCTATGGCTCAATTGGTACAGCCTGCAAGTTCTAGATACACATGCGCAGTTAGCAAAACTGCCTATGCCAGGAGAGGATCTTAGCTACAACAATCTTCAGCCCACCTTTCTTTGTACAGGATCTTTGTAGTTACTACGTGTACCTCACAGCAACTAGTAGCAGGTGTCTTTGTTTTAATATATTTTATTCCACACATATGGAGGGGGGGGGGGGGTGAGAATTTTCTTTAAAATAATTCAACCTGCCCAAAAGAAAATTCGATCCCCCTACTGCACCTCAATCCCCTGACCCAGGTCACAACTGCCTTCTTCATCCACATTCCCTCCCAGACATCACACGCCCACGTGCACCCCAATTCCTTACCCCAAGCTCCCTTCTGCACCCAACCTCCATCCCGACACCACACCTCTTCCATTAATATCACGGAAGAGGGCGGCCCTTGACCACTTACCAAAATCTTGGAGTGTACCCCCCATCAAAAATATTGCCCACCCATGTGCTAGACCATGATGCCTTTCTGCTTAATTGTTATAAGTCTTAGGAGAACATTTTCGTACTAATCTCATATTTCCCGTCAACGAAATTCTTAATTTTAAAATGTTAATGTTTTAAATATGTTATATAGTTTGTGTTAACCATAACTTTAAAGCCAGATATGTCTATAAAAAATAAGTAGTAAAGATAAGCTAAACTTACAGTTGTTGATGTCTGGAGGGGCATAACTATCATTCATGAACATGCTGGTAGGTTTTGCAACTTTCAGATAAACAAAATCAGATGTGTTTTTTAAGGCAGTCACTGCTTCTTCATGTGTAACTTCTTCTAAGCAAACACTGTTGACCTAAAGATAAAGAAAACATGAACTCATCCTTAAAAAAAAAAAAAAAAAAAAAAAAAAAGGTAAGCTTCCATAAAGTTTCACACAAAAGTTCTCTCAAACTCCTTGGAGCATCCCAGGATCCGTAGTCCTTATTTTTGGTACATTATGCCACAGATCTATTAGATCCTATAGCACCATAGTTGATGTACGATGCTTTGTTCATAAACAGAAAAGGGAAGTGGTTGCCCAAACAGTAATAAAATCTATGTTGGATATAGCATAGCAAAAGGATAGCAAGCATGGTTTTGGGATACTGGATGGATGAAATACTATGAAGAGCTCCCCATAAACATTCAGAAATCTACTTAATTAGCCTCCTTCAAATCTGTCAAAACCCCTCTCCTTTGCTATGAAGCCCACAAAAAAAAAAAAAAAAAAAAAAAAAAATCTGACAAAGGTTAGGCCATTGGTGAGACAAAAGCACAGGCTTTCCGACTAACTGATATTGTCTCACCATTTTTCCTTGTATTACACCATCTAATTACAGCCATCTTGTCTTCTACTTACACTGTAAGCTCTTTGGAGCAGGCTGTCTTCATTCTGTGTTTGTGCAGCACCTAGAATAATGGGCTGCTGTTCTATGACTAGAACTCAAGACAGTATGGCGGTGGAAATAAACTATTATACTATTATAAAAGGAGAGACGCCCGACACACTGTCACAGAGAACATTTGAGAAGACTTGAGTGACCTAGTGTCACCCCCTCCAATGAGGCCCTACCCCCACCACGGGGAGGGGAGAAAAGGAGGAGCAGTATGCCGAGCACGCGCTACTCCCTCCCCATCTTTCCCCACACACCCACTACAGGGAGAAGAAGAGTGTGTGCTCGCCCTATCATCCCAGGAGCAACAGGGAGGGAAGGGGATGCAGGGCACCAAACTCTACCCCTCCACCTCTGAGAGCAGCAGGGAGGGAAAAGGCCACACGACTAGAATCTCCCCACCCCCAGATGCAGTGGGGAGGGAGGAAGCCCTGCGGCCCAAGCCTCCCCAGCCCTGGGAGCAGTGGGGAAGGAGGAAGCCATGTACACAGGTAGAAGAAGAGCGCGCATGCCCAAACATCCCTGGAGCAGCAGGGAGGGAAGAGGCCACATGATCTGAACCTACCCCACCCCAGGGAGCAGCAGGGATGGAGGAGGCCCTGTGGCCCGAATTGGCCCAAGCCTCCGTGGCCCGGGGAGGAAGGAAGCCACGTGGTTCCAGTCTCCCCAGTCCCGGAGCAGTGGGAAGGGAAGCAGCTGCATGTCCCAAGCCTTACTACCCCTGGGAACAGCAGGGAGAGAGAAGGCCACGTGTACGTCTACCATCACAACAGGACATGTAATACTAGTAATAATAAATCTGAGATATTATTTGTTTCTAATTTGTTTCTTATGCATACAGAATTATTATGTCAAGTGATTAAAATGTAATAAATTGCTGAATTAATCATGTTAAATAGAAAACAATTTATATATTTTGATGCTTTCTGCATCTCCAATTTTTTTTTTATTACAACACAGAATATGAAGTGTACAGTGCTCATTTCATACTTACTTTTTATTACAAAGCCTTACATTTTCAATAGTGATAGAAATGTAGCCGTGTTAGTCTGGGGTAGTTGAAGCAAAATGCAGGCCAATGTAGCACTTTAAAGACTAACAAGATGGTTTATTAGATGATGAGCTTTCGTGGGCCAGACCCACTTCCTCAGATCAAATAGTGGAAGAAAGTAGTCACAACCATATATACCAAAGGATACAATTAAAAAAATGAACAAATATGAAAAGGACAAATCACATTGCAGAACAGGAGGGGGATGCGGGGGAAGGGGGGGGGAGGAAGGAAGGTAAGTGTCTGTGAATTGATGATATTAGAGGTAGGGAGAGTGGGATGTTTGTGAGTTAATGGTATTACAGGTGATAATTGGGGAAACTGTCTTGGTAATGGGTGAGATAGTTCAAATTCTTGTTAAGTCCTTGATCCCGGTGACTTGTTACAGTTAAGTTTATCAATTTGTTCCAAAACCTCCTTTCATGACACCTTAATCTGGGACAATTCCTTAGATTTGTCACCTAAAAAGAATGGCTCAGGTTTGGGAATCTCCCCAATATCCTCAGCCATGAGGACTAAAGAAAAAAAGAATTCATTTAGCTTCTCTGCTATGACTATCATCTTTGAGTGATCCTTTAGGATCTCGATTGTCTAAGAGCCCCACTGGTTGTTTAGACTGCTTCCTGCTTCTGATGTACTTAAAAACACTTTACTCTTACTTTTTGAGTTTTTGGCTAGCTTTTCTAATTGTATTTTAACACTTAATATGACAAAGTTTATGGTCCTTTCTATTTTCCTCACTAAGATTTGACTTCCACTTTTTAAAAGATATCTTATCTGTCATGGATTTTTATCTGGTTAAGCCATGGTGGCACTTTTTTGGTTCTCTTACTATGTTTTTTAATTTGGGGGTATACATTTAAGTCAGGCCTTTATTATGGTGTCTTTGAAAAATTTCCATGCAGCCCGCAGAGATTTTACTTTTGTCACTGTATCTTTTTATTTCTGCTTCACTAACTTCCTCATGTTTGTGTAGTTCCCCTTTCTGAAATTAAATGCCAAAGTGTTGGGCTGCTGAGGGGTTTTCCCACCACAGAGATGTTAAATTTTATTACATTATGGTCACTATTTCTAAGCAGTCCAGTTATATTTACCTCTTGAACCAGATTCTGCATTCCACTTAAGACTAAATCAAGAATAACCTCTCCCCTTGTAGGTTCCAAAACCAGTTGCTCCAAGAAGCACTCATTTAAGGTATCAAGAAAATTTCTCTCTGTATCCCATCCTGAGGTGATGTGCACCCAGTCAATATAGGAATAGTTGAAATTTCCCACTATTAATTTGACAGCGTCTCTAAACTCCCTTAGCATTTCATAGTCACTATTACTGTCCTGATCAGGTGGTCAATAATATATCCCTACTGCTATATTCTTATTATCAGAGCATGGAATTACTATCTATAGAGATTCTATTGAACATTTTGGCTCATTTAAGAATTTTACTTCATTTGATTTTACATTTTCTTTCACATATAAATGTCACTCCTCCACCAGCATTACCTGTTCTGTCCTTCCAATATTTTGTACCCTGGTATGTACTGTACCATGTTGGTGGCTGACTGCCGCTGGGGCTACCTTGTGGGTTGGATGGCGTTTCAGGCCTAGAACATGTGGTGGCTGGGGTGGTTGCTGCCACCACATGTTGAAGACGTGGGTGGGCAAGCTGGAGACCAGAAAAGTGGGGTGTTGCAGCTGAGGTTGGGCTGGGGACTGGAGGGGGGTGTTGCATCCGCAGGCAGATTGGGGAGGGTTGCAGCCATGAGTGGGTTGGGGACTGAAGGGGGAATGCTGTAGGAGTAATAAAGTATCAGTGATCTAAGATGAATTGAGGTCAAAAGATGTTGAAGGTTTAATCTATGAGGAGAAAATTGCCTGAAGCGGCAGGAGGACTCTATCGGAGGGCAGTAGAAGAGGAATTGAGGGGAGGTGGTCGGGCCGTGCTCAATTGTCAACTGCCACCACCATGAGAGGTTCTCTGCACACGCATGGCCAAACTGCTAACTGCTATGAAAAAGTTTCCGATCTGTGGCTCTGGGAAAGACCAGTCTGTGACGGGGCAGGCGGACCACCCGCCCCACCCCGCACTGGGATGGCCTCCGAGGAGGAGGACGAAGGCCCGGAGGGGGAATTAAGTGGCTGGGAGGGAGCCGCCAAAAGGCCGGCCGGGACACCAAGGAGGGCGGGGGTCCGGGCGCGGACATGACGTCAGTCGGCGGCGCCGACGGGCGGGAAATTCAAAAGGGCCGCAACCGCGGCCACAGAGGGGAGAGTGTTCGGTCCTGGGAACCCCAGGCGCCGACGGGCGGGAAATTCAAAAGGGCCGCAACCGCGGCCACAGAGGGGAGAGTGTTCGGTCCTGGGAGGAACCCCAGGACCTGCCAAGGAGCCCAGACCCTGAGAAGTACAGGTGGCCAGGAAGTCCCCGAGGCGGGGGACGGAGGGTAAGCTTATCCCCACGGTGGGGGAACCAGTAAAAAAAACCGACTGGGAAGAAGGGACCCAGTGGAGGGTTTGGGGGATCTTGACCCCCTCCACTGACAGGGGACGCATGTCCCCTTCTTAGGGCCCTGGGTCGGGGCTCGGAGAGAGGGAGGGCCCGAGCCCCCTTCCCGGTCCCCCTGGGATCCGCATAGGCTCGGACCGTGCTGAAGGTACGAGCGATACGCTAGGGCCAGGAGGCCAGCCGTGGAGTAAAGCTCCCACATAAGACGGTGGTCCACCCGAACTCGGGGTGGCCTTTAAGGGGACGGTTACACCGTCACCTACAGTGGAGCACCCATGGGGACATCACCCAAAGAAGAACTTCTGCTTTTTGCATATGCATAGTACTGAGGGACCTCAAGAGGTCATCGAGTCCAGCCCCCCGCCCTCAAGGCAGGATCAAGCTCTGTCTACACCATCCCTGACAGATGTCTATCTAACCTGTTCTTAAATATCTCCAGAGAGGGAGATTCCACCACCTCCCTTGGCAATTTATTCCAATATTTGACCACCCTGACAGTTAGGAATTTTTTCCTAATGTCCAATCTAAACCTCCCCTGCTGCACTTTAAGCCCATTACTCCTTGTCCTGTCCTCAGAAACCAAGAGGAACAAATTTTCTCCTTCCTCCTTGTGACACCCTTTTAGATATTTGAAAACCGCTATCATGTCCCCCCTTAATCTTCTTTTTTCCAAACTAAACAAGCCCAGTTCATGAAGCCTGGCTTCATAGGTCATGTTCTCTAAACCTTTAATCATTCTTGTTGCTCTTCTCTGTACCCTTTCCAATTTCTCCACATCTTTCTTGAAATGTGGCGCCCAGAACTGGACACAGTACTCCAGCTGAGGCCTAACTAGTGCAGAGTAGAGCGGCAGAATGACTTCACGAG